GATCAAGCTAAAGAGCACTTATACCCATCAAAGCTTGAGAAACAATCCTAAGAAGGTTGTTCCCTACAATAATGCCTTAGTTTAAGTTGAACTATGATTAATATATACAATACAAGATTATTCATGCTTAGTTAATGTTAGTAAATACATTAACCAATGGACCATTATTCTAAAGTTGTTACTCTACCCTCTATTTGAACTAATATCCAGCAATGACATTTCATAATTACTCAATGCTTTATATTTTCTCTCCTCTCTCTCAGATACCAGCAAATCTCATGTCGTTTGAGTAAAGAGACTTGTGTAGCTCTTGCCTGCAGACATTTATAATGTGCCAAAAGGCCTACAGAGATGGAGGAGAACGTGTTTCAATCAGCAAACTCACGAAGAACGAGTGAAAACTTCAACATTAAGGAGTCACTGAGCCAAAGCACTGGATCTGTTCATCTGGACCACTGTTACAGACCAGATCTGCACTCTCGAATGGAGGAAAATCCAGCTTTATGAAGTCTTCAGTGTGGGGATTTATGCATCTGAAGGTGTTTGTTGATATTGCAATCGGTCAGGTATGTTTTAGAGGTCACACTTTACTATGAGGTTTCGTTAGTTAATGTGTTTTCAATAAACAATACATATATTACAGTGTTTATTCAGGGTTGATCTATATAAAGTCAATTATTCTTATTTCTTGTTAACTCAGAGTGCATTAAATAATGTTAACAAGCACAACTTTAGATTTTAATAATGCATTAAAAGGTATTAATAGGTGTTCTTTATCACACCGCAAAATGCTTTTCTTACTAAGATGTTTCTAAAAATATCTAAAGATTTATGAATTATGGAGCATTTTATAGACAAGCAAACATTTTGTCTTGTTTTAAGAAATAAAATGTTAAAATTAAGCAAGTTTTTCCTTAAAACAAACGAAATAATCAGACAATAGGCTAAGCAAAATAATCCTATATCAAAAGGAAAACTGGATTTCTTTTTTCCTTAACATATTGTCAGATTATTTTACTTGCTTTAGGGGAAAACTCACTTAAATTTGACTCATTATTTCTGAAAACAACACAATATGTTTTGCTTGTCTATAAAATGCTTGTTGATTTAAGAATTTTTAGATATTTAGACTAAAAACAAGACATTTTTTTAAGTGTACTGTAGTTCATGTTAACATTAACTAACATTTACTAATGAAACCTTTTTTAAAGTGTGACCGTTTTAGGAATAAAATCAAACAGAAGCTCACGATTGACATTTTAAAAGGGTCAGTTCACTCATCAAGTGAATCTTTTTTCACACTCAAGTGATTCAAAACGTTTATAAGCTTCTTTTGTTGAACACAAAACAATATATTCTGATGAATGCTGACATCCATAATGAGACAAAAAATACTATGAAAGTCAATGACATTTTTTAGAATATCTTTCTGTGTGTTAAACAGAGACAAGGACAAGTGGTGGATGCTTAAACGATGGCATAGTTTTCATTATTGGGTGAACTGTCTCTTTAAATGTCCCGAAAGGTTAAACAAAAGCAGCCGTCAGAAAACAAAGCACAAGTGGATCAACACTGATGATGTAAACCAGCTCCTGGCTAACAGGTTTAGATACAGACTAATCCAATCATATCGTGTTTCTCCTTTCAGCACAGGGATTTTAAGTTCTGCTAAATGTTCTGATAATGGACCCGGACGGTGCTGCTTGCAGGAGGTTTGTGAGTGTGATTGTTTACATCAGGGATCTGAATCCACTTTTATTTTTTAGCCATTTTTATACTCGCAGAAGTTTGCTTAAGGCTTTGAGTATTAACAAATGCTTTACAAAAACGAAGGTTTCGGCTCATTTTAAAGTAGGTTTTGCTCACAACTTTAACCCGCTGATGTGTGTCAGTCTTTAAGATTTCTTGTGCTATTTCAGGACTAAATCATTTTTTATAAAAAAGATCACTCAATTAAAACCAAGAAGTTCATTTTCATCTCACTAAACGCTTGAGGTCATTTGTGTTATTGTGAAATTCACATTCGCACAGATTGTCAAATTTGACCCCAAATAAATCGACTTAAATAAGCGATTATATTTTGCTTAAAGAAAATGTACTTTTTTTTTTACAATCTGACATTACTTTCATTGTAATAAAGCAGATTTAACCACTAATTCTCATCACTGTAACAATGATATTATTTATAATTACGTAGTTACAGTATATCATGGTTATATTTATTGTGGTGCCTTTATTTTACACATCCATTATTGCACATTGTTTATTTATATATATCGAAATGCACACATGAAAGTAATGTCAGAATGGACTCAGTTTTCTTCATGCAAAATCATATTCCTTATTTGCATCTTTTGGTTTTTGGGTGTGAAATGCGACCTGAATTAGTTTCGTGAGATTTCTCCAAGCAATTATTCATGCAAGCAGATTCTTAAATACATATGATGATGTGCAGATACACCTGAAGTGAAGCAAGGATTGATTTCGAAGAGATGTTCATTAATTTATGTGTCCTTTTTATTGGTTTATCTGTAAATGTGAGCCATCAATGCTGATCGGAGATGCTTCTTCAAATCAAGTGAAAGCACAGCACTGTAATATTCTGTACATTTATTTCTCATCTTTTCTTCTGTGCGGGACTGATGAATGTAATGAGGTTTAGTTTTTCCAGCATGCTTTTCTTTAAATGAAGGAAAAATGGCCGTCAGACACTCAACACAACATCTCATATCAGCTCTACAAATCTGACACTAAGCAGAATCACAGGAGTGACTCACTTCAAAATAAAATTTGGTCATTATTTATACTCTCATGATGTCATTTGCACAAGTATGCTGTTTCATTTTTATTTTTTTTTTTAAGAAAGATTGGTCATGCTTTAGTTTAAAATATGATTCTAACTATTGTGAATTTAATAATAAACTCCTAATTTGCTGCTTATTGATAGTTATTAAGGCAGCAGTTGGATTTAAATGTTGGGTCGGATTAGGGATGTAGATTAATATCATGCAGAATATGTACTTTATTAGTATTAATAAACATCCAGTATCTTAATAACAGGCACGTCATAATGCACTAGTTAATAGTGAGACTTAAAGGGATAGTTCACACAAAAATTGTCAACTTACTCACAATTCACTTGTATCACAAAGTTTATTTTTTCTGTTGAACACAAAACCTGTAACCATTGACTTCCATAGTATTAATTTTTTCTGCTATGTTTTGCCAATGGGTATCAAAATGTCTTCATTAGTGATTTGTAACACCTTGCAAGGGAGTAAATTGTGAGTAAAGTTTCATTTTTGGGTGAACTATCCCTTTAATTGTTACAATCTCCAAAATAAAGGTATAATCTGTCACTGAGGCAGTACTAAGATGCTAATACCTTTATAGTAAAATATGCACCCTTAAGATACTAATATACAACTTTAGGGTACCAATACTGAGCCTTGAGGCACTAAGATACAACTTTAGGGTACCAATTTTGAGCCTTTAGGTACTAATATACAACTTTAAGGTACCAATTTTGAGCCTTTAGGTACTAATATACAACTTTAAGGTACCAATTTTGAGCCTTTAGGTACTAATATACAACTTTAAGGTACCAATTTTGAGCCTTTAGGTACTAATATACAACTTTAGGGTACCAATTTTAAGCCTTTAGGTACTAATATTCAACTTTAAGGTACCAATTTTGAGCCTCGAAGTACTAATATACAACTTTAAGGTACCAATACTGAGCCCTGAGATACTAATATACAACTTTAAGGTATTAATACTGAGCCCTGAGGTACTAATATACAACATTAAGGTACCAATACTGAGCCTTGAGGTACTAATATAAAACTTAAGGTACTAATATTTAGCCTTAAGGTACAAAGATACAATTTAAGGTTCCAATACTGAGCCTTGAGATGGTAATATACAACATTAAGGTGCCAATACTGAACCTTGAGGTAGTAATTTACTACATTAGGGTACCAATACTGAACCTTGTGGTACTAATATACAACTTTAAGGTACTAATACTGAGCCCTGAGGTACTAATATACAACTATCAGGTACCAATAACGAGCCTTGAGGTACTAATATACAACTTTAAGGTACAAATGCTCAGCCTTGAGTTACTAATATACAACTTTTACGTAAAAATATGGACTCTTTTCTGACAGTGTACCCATTTTATTTTTAAACAAACTTTATGCTGATTGTAAACGCAAACTAAAAATAAAAGTGAATTTTGCGGATCATTTTCTAAAAGTCACAGGATTTACGATATATATCTTAATGCACATAGAGTATTTTTTTCATGATACATTTTAAATCATGTTTGGTGGCTTTAATTGTTCTTGTATCAAACAACTTGCCCAAAGAGGAATGTTTTGTGTGTACTTTTTTATACTTTTCATTGAAAAGAATCTTTAATATCTCTTTTTTTTAATAACTCTTTCATTCTGAGTCTTTAATAATCTAAAATCATTGGTTCTTTTTATGGAATGTTTTTCACGAAGTGCTTCAAAACATTCTGAGAAAACGTTAAAGTATCATTTATTTCCAAATATTATAAAATTAAATGTTTCGTTAATGACATTTCAGCTTATTTGGGATGTTAGATTTTTTTAAATGACCTTCAACGTGGAAAGAGCATAAAGACTAACCCAAACTGCATCATTTAGTGAAACAACATGAGAGAGTAAATAATGACACAATTTTCATTATGAGATGAAGAATGTCTGTGAAGTGTCAGATTGATTGAACACACTCCTCTGAGTTTAATAACATCATCGCACACAACAGACTGACTCTAGTTAGTGATACTAGTTATTTCTTCAGAGTATTATTGCTCTAGTATCAGTTTTGCCTTTCTGTGTCTGAATTAAGCTTGTTTTTATGTATATTTTTGTGTTGTACTAGGGCAGAATTTCTCCATCCCGATCCTCGCGCTACACCGATTTGCATATTTTGCATGTTTCCCGGCTGATTTAGATCACTAGCTCTTTAGAAGAGTTGTTCCCTACACAGTGTGCATTCTTCCCTAGTCCCTTCTCCTTCATTACTGTCTCCCAGAGCACAAGAAACCTTTATTTAACTTTTAAACATTCGTTAACGAATTTACACAACAGCACTGCCTACAGCGTCTTACTAAAGAAACATGAAGTGTGACCTTTGTAAATAAACACAATATAAATTAACATATAGCACACTAAGATGCCATTTCAGTGCAGCATCTATGCTCACCTCAAACTGAGTCGCCTTCGCAGGGCACTTGTTGTTGAATTAAAACAAATGTTTGATGTGAGATAAGCATCTAAAAAATGTGCAGAGCTGTGGAGCGTGAGGACCGGCATTGAGAAACAGTGCTCTGGGGATATTAAAGCACATGTACAGCCGCACTGCATGTCTGTTATGTTTGTTTCTGCTGTAACTGTGAATTAACTCTTGTTGTGTTTGCCATGTAAATACGTTGCTAAATTATTTCTCGTTTGCCATCGAGGTACATTGCGGTTTATCAGCAAAAAGGCTGATTCTTCTTGTACAGACATTAAATGCCAGTGAACACACGTTTGTGTAAGTGTATGGCTTTGTTTACTTGTTTTTGCAGGAAGTTCACATAAGTGAAAATAGTGTTTGTTTGTAGTTTGGCAGGTGATTATTGAGTTGATGTTTAAATGTCTTAAAAAATATCACCAATTATTATAAGCAGTTTACTGAATGAAAAAAAGGCAAACAATTTAGTCCATAGTGTAAATTGTCCATAGTGTATGAGTTTGTATGGATGTTTTCCAGAGATGGGTTGCAGCTGGAAGGGAATCTGCTGCCTGAAACATATGCTGGATAAGTTGGCGGTTCATTCCGCTGTGGTGACCCTAGAATAACAAAGAGGCTAAGCTGAAAAGAGAATGAATAAATGAATGATTATGTAATTATATGAAATAAAAAACATTTCAAAGAATATAGAAATAAATAAATAATTATAATACGGAATAGTGGTAGAATGCTGGTGTAGTTTAAATTTAAAAACGTTTTTTGTTTAGTTTTACTAATTATTTTTAGGGGTTTTTGCCTTTACAGTGATAGGACAGTGGAGATTTACAGACAGGAAAGTGTGGGGAGCAGAGATAGAGGAAGGCTTGGCAAAGGACCTCAAGCAGAGAATCGAACATGGGTCAACGTAATGTATGTGTCAATGCACTAAACACTAGGCTTTTGGTGCCAAAAAAATAACACACAAACCTAATCTTAAAATTGTTAATAATAATAATAATAATAATAAATAAATAAAGAATAATAAAAGTATATAAATGCAATTGTAAAAGTCCAATCTCATAAGTAATTGTTGAATTAAACTGCAAGAACTTCCCAAACACACCTCAACTGGCAGTAGCCGAAAATGTACTTTGTTTAATTATCATTCAGAATTACACATCATTTGAAAGCTGAATAAATATAATCTGACATATACTTTGTTGGGATATGACAATATCTGCCAAAGATACAACTGAAAATCTGGAATCTGCGGAAACAATTTTTAAAGGGCAAAATCATCTTTTATAAGCTGTTTGGACAGAACTGTGTGTAGGTTTAGAGCGTCCACAGTCATATTAGAGTCATAGAAACACAATAAGTCTCTTTTTTAAATTTGACTTTTTAAACAGGATCCATATTTCAGAGTTTTGAGGTAAGGGACGTTTTTATTTGCCATTCATTGGCAGTCAGGCAGTCTCATGCAGTTCATCAAACTTCATCTTTTCAAATCGAAAGCGGAACAAAACAGTCTCTTCATAAAAGCCGGCGTATCAGCGCGCTTGAAAACATTGAAAACATATGACTTGATTTGCACGTCTGATTGGGTCTCGTGATATAGCAACTTTTGCTGTCAAAGACAAGTGGTGTTTAGCGGCTTTTGCCAACAAACTAGGAACAAACGCTGGGATTTGGATGATTTCAAACAAAAGTTTTTGTTGAACATGTACTACGTGCCATTATCTCATTTTTGGCCGAAGTGGCCTTTAACGGCTTTTGCATCTGAACTCTTTTTATACAAACGTTTTTTCTAAAAGCCTGCATCTGAACACATCAAACTGTTTTTACAGTTTAAGATGTTTCTAGACATTTCTCACATGTTATAGTATACATTTTTTATTTGTGCAGGTCAAAAAAAGTCTTATGATACTGATGCTGTACCCTGATTTTGTGCACCTTGAAAAATGTATTGTAGGCTAGGCTACAGTAAGGGCCTACTCACACTATGCCATCCGTACCGTGCCCAGGCCCGTTTCCCGGATCGTTTGAGAAGTGTGAGGTCGCTGAATCGGGCTCAGGCACAGTTCACTTGGCTGGCTCTGGCCCGGTCGGAAGAGGTGTGCCTGAACACGGTTCACTTGGGAACTGAAAGCGAGACGTGACTTTTAAGGGACTTTTATTAATCAATCTTAAGGCTGATTTATACTTCTGCGTCAAACACCGGCGTATGCTACGGCGCTGACGCATAGCCCTTCGCCGTGGCTGACGTGCACCTCTCAAAAAATTTAACTACACGTCGAAACGACGCGTAGCGTAAGCTCTGTGATTGGTCGGCTTGGTAGCGCTGACGAGTCTGGGCGGGACCGAGAGCCGCGCGAGCGATTGTTTACAAGTGTGGAGTCCTGTAAAGGAGCTCCGGATGGAAAGTTTTGTTTTGTGTTTACCTCGTAGGTAAAGTTGTTGCACGTCCGCCGGTTCCTGCCTCAAAATGAGCGAGTTTGAGCCACTTGTACATCCCGGAAGTGTTCAGGAAAAGCAATAAAGTAGCGAAGAAACTCGACACAGAGGAACATTTACACCTCACTGCCAACTAGCGTTTCGGAAGTGTTAATGCAGACTGACAGAGACAGCACGCAGAAGTATAAATGCACAGCCAGAAGTATAAATCAGAAGTATAAATCAGGCTTTACTGTTTAGTGAACGCAAACTGTCGTAGTTTATTAAAGACTCAAACCCCTCACTGCACGACAGCTGCACCTTCAGCAGACCTCCTCATTCCTGCAGCACGAGAGCTTTATGATTGTTTATTAGCTCCAAAAGTGGCTGATCTGTTCTGCAAAATATCTGTCTGCGTGTCCCAGCATCCCTAAAGACTGTTTGGCGAAATATTTGTCTGCATATCACGGCATATCAAACGACTAAAACGATATAACTAGAGAAATCTCCACTGTGCTGCTGAGTGAGAGAGCGCTTCTCACTGAACAGCGCAGCATGGATGACGTAAGTGTGCCCAGGCCCGATTGCAGTGTGAGTGCGGGCCGTCGGGGGAGACGGAAGGGGGACAAGCGTGCTTTGGCCCGGTTCGAGGCAACTGTACATAGTGTGAGTACGGCCTAATACCACAGTTATTTCAGTCTATGTAATTGTAATTACAGTGTATTGCATTATCTTCACTGACCTTCACCAACAATTTACAGTCGTTACTGATCAACATTATAAAGAGGAAGGTGTTAAAATTTAGTGCCTTTCACTTTAGTTTTTTTACCTTATTTTGTCACGTACGAGCAGCTCATTGGAATATAATGCCTCAAGACTTCTAGTCTCATTAACTTCCTCTGTAAAAAAAAATAAAGGCTTGTTGCCAGCTGGTTATTTTTATTATATTATTTTTATGTATTGTCATAAACACAGTTATAGAGTGGAGTTATGACACTTGAGTGTATCCAACAAGATTTAGACACCCTTTTTAATACATTTTATTGGTTGATATATATTTGTAAAAATAGGACATACAAACTGAAAAGGGATTAAATAGCATTGACTTATTGAAGAGGAAAATAAATTAGGGAAATTTGGAGTGTAAGGACAAAAAGGTTGAGACTTACCTGTGCGTGCCTGGTCATACAAATAGATGCAATAAGGTGAGCCGCATGATTTCTCTGTCTCACAAAGCGGCCTTCCTTTCAAAAGTGTGTGTCAGGCTTTAAAGGGCACCTCAAAAAATCTATAGCTGCGTCCCAAATGGCACACTATGCACTCATGCACTATGCTTATGCACTTATACTTATCCCAAATGGAGCACTTATGTTTTTTTACTAAGCGGAAATTCAAACCAGTTCCCTGATGATATTTGACGGTTGCCAAATCAGTGAAATAAATGACAGAATTATCAGATAATACCTGCCGTGAGTATAACCGCATTCACCATCGGGAGGCGCTATAATCACTCTCGTAGGAGAATTTTGCTTTCACCATCCAAAACAAATAAAGTTATTCAACATGTGCGTCCGATAGCTCCGCCCCTTCCGCTACGTGAGCAAACCTGTGATCGTTGAATGCGTGAAGAGTCCATCGTTACACACTTCATTTTAGAGGCTGAATGAGTGCATCATCCGGGTATTTAAAGTGCACTCATTATTTTTAGAGTTTTCAGTGTGAACGCACTACTTACACTATTTATACTACAAAATGGCGTAGAATAGTGCATAAGTGTGCGATTTGGGACGCAGCTCCTATGTGTGACATCAGACGGAGAAAGATGGATCTCTCCCTCATTAGCATTAACAGCCCTGAGTGAGAAGCATTAGAGTTTCCACATCATACCTGCTGAAGATGAGCAATAAGAGGGATTATAAATTAGGTCATTAAAGTATTTGTGTGGTACTTTGTTACAAACATTATTTGTGTGGGGCATCATGTTGGCGCAGTGGGTAACATGATCGCCTCTCAGCAAGAAGGTCGCTGGTTCGAACCTGATGCTGTGTTCACACCAATCGCGGAACACGTGGATAAATCACGCTATTCGTGCGTAAATTGCCGCGTGAACATTTGAGTTTACTCGCTTCATTCGCATGTCAAACCCCGCTTCATTCGCGTGTCAAATTAACTTCAGAACAGACGCGGATTCGCGTGATGGGCAGGGCTTCTATCTGCCCGGTGACTCTAGCTTCATTGCTTAATGGCTAACTTGGATTTTATGAAGAAAATAACAGTGTTTATGTGCTTTATGAAGACTGAAAAACAGCGTCAATACGTTAAGAGTCATGTCTGAGTCCACTACATGCTTTCGGAGGTGCATCCAGCTCTGTGAGCTCATAAACTCCCCCAGAAACTGAACCTGGATGATGGAGGCTTTCAGCTGTGCTTCTGACTGAGCCAAGCCCAGTTTGATGAACAGGCGATACGTCACAATCACGCCCCCACAAGAGCAAGCTCCTGATTGGTTAATGCGGTATGAATGTCCGCTGAAGTTCAGATTTTTGAACTCGAGAGATTCGTGCAAAACGCTCAATTCACGCTGCGCCATTCACAATTTGCTTCACCATTGCATTGACTTAACATGTAAATCACTCGCACTTTTTGTGCGTTCCGCGTCTAGTGTGAACGCAGCATAAGCTGGGCCAGTTGACATTTCCCCGTGTTGGCGTGGGTTTCCTCTGGGTGCTCTGGTTTCCCCCACAAGTCCAAAGACATGCACTACGGGTGAATTGGGTAAGATAAATTGGCCGTAATGTATGAGTGTGAATAAGTGCTTCATTCACTGTGTTAAACATATGCTAATTGAAAATTTTATGTAGCCTTTTCCTAACTTGTGCTTTTCAACA